GTCTGCTGCTGGCCAGCACTCTGACCAATGATTGAGGAATTTTTGCTGGGGATGCCTAGTCCTACAGCCTCACGGATGAGAAAAGATGGGTAACTCGGTGGTTAGGAGCCAGGCACTGGATACAGATAGATCCTTGCTCACCCTCTTACTAGCTATGCGTGACTGTGGACAAGTCGTTGAACCCTTCTGAGCTCTCGTCCCCTGTAATATGTAGGCAACACCAGTCCCTATCTCTCTTTGGCTGTTTCGAAAATCAATAGGGGTAATAGGTTTAGGCCATTTTATGGGGTTCCAGAGTCACACAGGTTTGAATATTGAATTAGGAAAGGTAAAGGAGGAAGACTTGTCGGTATCTCTCCAGGAGACCCTGGTGGAGGGATTTTACACGTGAGTGGGAAACTCTGGGGGTGGGATTAGGGGTGGGGCGGTGTTATTGAGCTCTTCTTGGGGTAAACGCTGCCACACATGTGTTCCTTTGCCCTTCCCACTTTCCATCCCTGATTAGTACCGAGTTTAACACCAAATATTAGAATATGGTAGAAAAGACCAATTAAACGGTCGCAGATTGAGCAGACGCCCCTCACTGTGAGGCTGAGGCTGCAGCGCGCCTATCTCCACTCCCCGCCCCGCCCTGCCGCCTTGGAGGCGCTGGTTGGCCTGCGGATCGTGACGTCACTCGTGGGTTTTTAAGGCCGAGTCCCGCGGACCGCTCCGCAGTGGCAGCGCGGTGGAGGCAGGCGTGGAGGCTTCTCTGGCGGCTCCGGTAGCTGGCCCGGAGGGGGCTCCAGGAGAGCGCAGCTGACGGAGGTAAAGGGGCTGTTCAGGCCGTGCTGTGGCGGCTCTGGTCCGGGGCCCGGGGAGCTGCAGTCGGCGATCGGAGGAAGGAGAGCAGAGGAGTGTCGTGGGGCGGTGGGGAATGGGTCGCGGTGTAAGGAGAGGCGTGCCAACCTCCTGGGGATGTGGGTGTAAGTGGGAGAGGCCCTCAGTCTCCGATCTCAGCGCCCCGCACCCTAACTCTTAATTTGGGGGCGCTGCCTGACCTGGCTCTTCCCGCGAGGATTCTTGCCTGGGGAATAGGGGTCACAGCGTCTGCTACCGCGCCACAAGCTGGAAGAGACTCTGGAAGCCGACGTCTGCTAGATTCAGGCCTCACCTCCCACCTGTGTCCCGGGACCTGGGGGTTTCTGTAAGTCTCATCGCCCTTGTTAGAGCTCCAGGAAGAAAGGAGAGTCTCTGTTACCTGCAGCTGCTTTAAAAAAAATAATTAAATAAGAATTTTAACAAGGAAAGCATGGGTGGCTGATTTAGGAAAGGATCAAGAAGTTGCACATTTTATGTTTATTATTGTCTCTTTTTTTTTCTGATGACTTTCCCTGTTCAGATAACCCAGCTGTGGTCCCCAGAGCCCCAAGACCTGCACTTTAGCCCGAGCTCATCATGGGGAACCACTTAGCAGAGATGGCGCCCACCGCCTCCTTCTTGCCCCACTTCCAGGCCCTGCACGTTGTGGTCATCGGGCTGGACTCAGCTGGAAAGACCTCCCTCCTTTACCGTCTCAAGTTCAAGGAGTTTGTCCAGAGTGTCCCCACCAAAGGCTTCAATACTGAGAAGATCCGGGTGCCCCTGGGGGGGTCCCGTGGCATCACCTTCCAAGTGTGGGATGTTGGTGGGCAGGAGAAGCTTCGACCTCTTTGGCGCTCCTACACACGCCGAACAGACGGGCTGGTGTTTGTGGTGGATGCTGCTGAGGCTGAGCGGCTGGAGGAGGCTAAGGTGGAGCTGCACCGAATCAGCCGGGCCTCGGACAACCAGGGTGTGCCTGTGTTGGTGCTGGCCAACAAGCAGGATCAGCCTGGGGCACTGAGTGCTGCCGAGGTGGAGAAGAGGCTGGCAGTCCGAGAGCTGGCTGCTACCACGCTCACCCACGTGCAGAGCTGCAGCGCTGTGGATGGGGTGGGCCTGCAGCTGGGCCTTGAGCGCCTTTATGAGATGATCCTCAAGAGGAAGAAGGCAGCCCGGGCAAGCAAGAAGAGACGGTGACTGGAGGCTGTCCCCTCTTCATCAGTAGAGGTCTGCATACTTGGATAGCCAGCAGAAACTGCTGCCCCTTAGCCCCAGAATGCAGGACCTGTCCACCTCAGTGAAGGACCCAGGTGCTAGCACACTGGGGAACTCTGTTTTGGTGCTGAATCGGGGAGGAGGATGAGAGATGGGTTGTCTGCTCTCATCTCTCCCTCATCCTCAGACTAGAGATGTGGGGGCTGCAGGACTGAGGGGGCTTCAATGTAAACTGTGACTCTACCTCGACCCTGTTTCTTGTTTTTCTTTGGCTTTTTGGTTAGATGTGTTTTGGGGCAAAGGAATGTTGCTTGGAGAATGCATTTGGGATGAACGAGAGAAATGTCTCTGCTCCGCTCCCAACTGCTTTTCTAGGGATGCCCACGACAGTCTTTATTTTTGTGTCTGTGTGAAAGTGCCAAGAATCTCTTCCCACTTTTGTAGATCCACAACCATTTTATAAGCCATGTGTGTCCTCTGTATTAACTATTTTTTAGCATTTGTCTATAAGTTATTAAAGACTGATGATACTGTAGCTTTAACCTTAGTCCGGCATTTTCATCTCTCCTTACCTAGCCCCAGGGACAGTCCAGCATTTCTATATGTGCAAAGGTGGGGTCTGGGGGCGGGTGGTAAGAACAACTTACATTGAAGCTAAATTTGCAGAGCAAGCCCTCTTTCTAAGAATTAGAGAGTTGAACCCTTCCCCCAAGCTATTGCCTGATCTCTGCAGTTTTTTTTTTGGGGGGGGGGTGTCCCTTTCTCCTACTTTTCTCCCTTCCCCTTATCCTCTTACTTGCCCCTGATACCACCTGCTCCTTGCAGATTTAAAGTTAAATTTTGCTGGTCTGAGCTGTTCCTAGTTTCTTGCTGTCGGGGATATCTCCTAGGTCTCTCTATAAAATTCTCAAAGAGCCATTCTATCTCTATTCTGCCCCTCTTCCCAGCACTCAGGGTTGGTCTGATTTCTTTTTTCCACCTTGGGATCCTGTGAGAATGGAAAGTAATTCCTTTCTGGCCTGAAGCCACCTCGGTGTACTCAACCTGCTGACTGTGCTTACTGGCAGCATGGCAGAGGCTGGTGCTGGATTGAGCCAGCTTGGCCCTGTGACTAAGCCATGAGTCTTCCCAGCTCTGGGAATGAGCTATTACCAGGAGAGGGACAGTAGTAGCTGTTTGTGCCTGGTGGGAGTGAGGACTGCTGGACATCCACCCCTAACTCTCTGGGAGAGGAGGGGGAAGGTGCAGGCCACCGATGTTAGCAGTGATGGTAAGGATAAAACGCTAATGTGAGGGCCAGAGTACCCTTGCCCAGACTTTTCAGGGCTGCTCCCTTCTCACCAGCATCAGGGCCAGCTGTGTCTGAGATAACTATCAGATCTTCCTAATTGGCGGGATTGAGTAAAAATGCAGTATAATTCCTTCTGGCCCCCAGCCCTTCAGTCCCACCCCCAGCCTTTGTGCAAACTGGGATCCCCAGAGCAGGTTTGGAGTTCCTGCTCCAAAAACAGATAAAAGGACCTGGAGAGGGAGAGAGGTGCTTGGAAACCCCGGTTGGGGAGCCTTGCTAAGGGACTAGGTTCTTCCCAGTGGGGCTGGCAAAAGCCCAAATTTTGCTGAGTGTGGACCAGTTCAGATTTGCTACTTCCTCCTGGCAGGACAGGGGTGAGTGTGCATTGATCCAGAAGGGTGCTTAGCGTGCGTCAGTTTTGGGGCCTACTTGACGGAGCTGCTGGGCTGGTTCTGCTGGGGACACCTGCTACCTGGCCCCTCTCTGCACATGCCTGTGACTCATGGCTCCCAGTACTACAGCAGAGTCCTTTTCTGCAGTGCAGGAACAGGCTGGGGAGGACCTGATTCGAAGGACCCTCTCTCTTGCTGGGAGACCTTTCCTTCCCACTCTTCCCCAAATCTGCTCTTTTGTCTCAAAATCTCCAAGGACATGTTTTCTCCATATCTGGTTACCTGAAAGACTGCGGTCTCTGGATTTGGGAGAAAGATGTATGCAGAGGTGCTCTCCCCTCTTTAGCAGAGGGACCTCCAAGGTGTCAGCTCTTGGTTCTGGCTCTGCTAACCACTCTCCCTCCCTATCTGGTTAAGACTGTCTTCTGCTTTCCCAGGCTCCAGCCCTGGGGGCCATGGTCCTCAGGAGACCAGTGAATGTCCTAGCTCTTCCCCACATCCCTCTGGCCTGACCAGCTGGTGGGGGTGGAGGACTGGGGATGGGGTGGGGGGGTGGTATGGGGATGGTGACACAAATGAAAGTGAGATGGAGAAGTCAGTTGCTTTGAAGGGATTGGGGTGAGAGGGGAGCACTGGAGAATTCTGATTAGAAAGCTAAGTTCTGGCTGAGTAGGGGTGGGAGCTTTGGAATAATCCTCCTGCCTTGGTCCATCCCACTCAGGCATTGCCCAGGCATTCTGCATGCTGAGCTTCTGAGCTGATGGTTTGGAGTGGGGGTAGAATCAGGGTTGGGGGTGGATTGTAGACTCCCTTGTCCTAGCTTCCTTATTAAGTAGACTTTCTTCGAGACCATAAGATAGATGCTGAGGGAGAGGCTCCCTGAGGGCAGAGGGGACCAGGGGGACCAGGAGTGGTGGGCAGGGGCTGATTGCCTGTGATATGAAGCTGAAGGAGACCAGTGGGCCCAGAGTCGGGGCCCCCTTCTGAGCTGCCCTCCCCCGCTCCCTCCTCCTCTCTTCACACGTGTTGGGTTGTAAAATCTGCATGGAGGGCACTTTCCCCGGGGGCCCTGCCCTTCCCCAAGCCCCTCCTCATGAGAGCAAAGGCCCTTTCACCTTCCCATGCCATCTTGTCTTATGCTGTCCTTGCTCAAGGAAGAAAAAAAAAAGCAAAGAGGAAGGAAAGAAGTCCCCAAGGCCCAGAGGGGACAGTGACTTGCCCAAGGACACACAGCTACTTAGTGGTACATCCAGATTCTTCCTCTTAGGCTGGCTATTTGTACTCATAGTGCAAGTGCCAGGAGATAAGAGCCAGGCGACAGGTCCAGCATCTCAAGAGTTCTGACCTCCCCTTCCCTTCCTCCCTCCCAGCCTTGATTAGACTAAGCCTGTTTTCCACTTCCTCCCTCGTCTTCCTGAGGAGTGGGAGCTTTATCTCCAGAGCCCAGCACAGCTTCAAATCTGGCCAGAAGTCCCCACCCTCCTTTTACACTGACCATGTGTCATTCCAAGTCTTTCTTGAGATGGACACCTCCACTGGGGCCTGGGAAGCACTGAACTCCACCGAAGCACTGGCTGTGCACAGGACAGCCTGTGCTCCAACACAGACCGTTTTGGATGGAGGCCAGTGGGACGGAGGGAGTGAAGGCAGTAAGGGAAGCCCAGGCCAACGCTGGGCTGTAAGGACTGGGCAGTGTGTAGCCACACATCATTTCCAAGGCCATCTGCAGGAGCATGGCTGGGGAATTTGTGGGTGGGTGTCATGGGACCTTCTCCCCAGCCAAGCCAGAGGAGGGTGTTTTCCTTCCTTTTTAAAGGAAAATTTTTTACTGTTCTCCCCCACCCCCACCTGATTACAAAAGTAATAGATCTTTGCTGTGAAAGAAATTTAGAATTTTAGAAAATGGAAAACCCCGTAATCTAAACTTCATAGCTAGCTGAACATTTGAACAGGTTTTTATATATAATCTTCCAGATATGTTTTTATCTACATATATAAAAAAGGTATGTATATATAACACACATGGGATTACATAAGGCATATTGTAGTTTTGCTTTTCTCATTTATATCTTGGGCATTATTCAACGTCAAGACATGTGGATTTTTCTCATTCTTTTGATGACTGCATGAAATTCCATTGTATGAACGCACCATCATTTATTAATTAAATCCACAGAGTATCCACAGCAGTGAACTTCCTTGGACATATTTCTTTGTACACTTGGGGAAAGATTTCTGGTAAGATAAATTCCTAGAAGTGTAATTGTTGTCTGAGGGTACACATATTTCAAGGTTTCATAGGTAGTGCCAAAGTGTGTGTTTGTACAGAGAGGGTTTAGGTGGGGAGGAAAATTTAATCCAGCCTCCACATCCTCCACCCCCAGATTTCAAGGCCTCTTCAAACTG